GTAATGAGTCTCTATAACAAGACCAGAAATGTGGTTAGGACCATGAACCACATTTCAGAAGAATTTGAGACGACATTAGGTATTCGCTTAGGTTGTAGCTTTAGCCCGCTACTGTTCGTAATAGTTTTAGACATGGCACTTAGAAAGCCTTAACTAAGGATGAGACAGTTCCGGTTAGGACACCGAAAACTGCAACCGACAAGATTCTCTGTGCACCTGGTCTTGCTAGCTGCCAACGATCGAGACCTCCAATACAACATAAACATCCTCCAGGAAGAAATAGCCACGATAAACATGAAGATTAACCCGGGGATAACTAAATGTATGAGAATAGGGAAGAAGCCCCGGAGAATAATGAGGGTGATGAGAGCAAGTGGTGAGAGATTGGAGCAGGTAGATAATTTCCAGTATCTGGGTGCTCATGTCAACTAAAGTGGTTATGTTGATGAAGAGGTGAGTAAAAGAATCGGGGCAGCTGGTAGAATGTTCTATCTGCTCCGGAGGGGATTTCTGGGCAGAAGAGAGGTAATGAAGCAGACTAAAGTAGCAGTCTACAAATCGACATTTCTCCGTATCCTTTCGTGCTCCTCTGAATCGTGGATTCTCACCTCGAAACACAAAAGTCGTATTCAAGCCACGGAGATGCGATACCTTCGGAAGGTCGAGGAAAAGGTCAGAAGAGATAGGGTTCGGAACGCCACTGTACGGACTAGCCTCGAGGTCAAACCGGCTGAAACCATCCTAGAGGAGCACAAGCTAAGATGGTTCGGACATCTTCTTAGAATGGATCAAGAGAGAACAGCCAGAAAGACATACGAGACCCATGTGGAGGGAAGGAGACCTAGAGGATTACCACACATATCCTGGGAAGACAGTGTACAAGAGGGGTTCAGGAAGCGAGGTATGGATTGGAGTAAGAGAAGAGAGTTGGCTCAAGAAAGGAAAACCTGGTCCAAGCTCTACAAGAGATAGCCCACACTGCGCTGCGGTATTGGGAACAGGAATATGATGATGATATATTGGTTGAGAAATGTAAAAAAAAAAAAAAGAATTGCTGACGAGGGCCACCAAGGCAAAACTTTTTATATTAAAAAAAGCCATATTATTTAGATCTTTTTTTGTTTTTTTATCTATCCTAAACGGTGCAACAAAGCCAAAAACCTTTCCTTTCGTAAATTAAATAAAGTTAAATTGTGCGTGGAACAAGTACATAAACTTAATAATTTGGTTAAGTGGTATGTTCGTTAACCTTGGTCAACGAACGTCGATTTTAACCAAATTCGTGAAAAACAGACAAATTACTATAAATGGCGCTGCAGCTTGGGAATGAGTTCTCTAAGAGAAAAATTCAGAATAAAAGTTATAAAGCACCAATAGATCAATTACATTTCTCGAATCGGGATTCGTTATTTCTTCATGAAATTTTTTACATCTCTGAATCCTTATATAAAAGTTAATAAAAAAAAACTTTTTCCACATTTTACGCAATGAATTTTCCGTTTCGATCCTCAAATTACTGTTCTAATATTCTTTACATCAGCAAGTAATAATTTTTACATGTAGCAAGGTCCGACTGGCACACTCATTTTTTGATGGCTAACTAAAAGACTTAACCATAAAATCTTTCAGCGCATCCACGCATAAGAATTTAAGCGGGTATTTTAAACAGATTAAGGATGATATGAACCAAGTGGGGCTAAGAGACCGAGATTATTTGGACAGAAATGAGTACAGGAAGGCGCTCAATAGAATAACGGTTCTTGCGGGAAAGAAGCGCTCCAAAAAGGGTGCTGCGTGGTCTGAGGAGAGAAAACGTAAGCACGCGGAGCTCATGAGGGGCATATGGGAGAAGAAGAGGCAGATGAAGAGGAAACATTAAATTCTTGATATTCGCGTGGTGTTTAAGGCCTGTTCGTGAAAAAAAATAAATAAAAACGTTACACACCTACTACTAGCATGATTAGCCAGTCGACTTTTCTTAATCGATTTTAGTTTACACATTTTATTCATTCATTCAGCTCATTTCTTATTGATTTTAATTTTTTCTTCATATAATGTTGGGGAGGGGGAGGGGGTGATCGCCCCTCTGTAGTCTGTGCCTGTGCTTTAAAAACTTTGGAATAATCCGATGTTACCAGAAAATAATTTCTATTCAAAGTATAGCGGTAAGTGAAATTTTCCCACCAGATTTTTGTTATTTATACATGATTATAATGAGCGGGCATTGAAAGCTGTTTTTATTATTATCTTAACTCGTTGCAATTCAGAGTTGGAAATGACAAGTTCGGAGCTGTGAATTGAAATACCTTTGGTATAGGAGGTTTGATATAAAAGAAATCAACTCTCTTGATGCCTTGAACGAGCATTGAATAACTGAAAAATATCAACAAAATGTTTACAAAGGTTCTTCTGCATATACATAATTTGATTATACAGTATTTATATCACAGTATATATAAACAGTAGAAATTAAGTTAATAAATTTATCTATTTTGTAAGAACTACTTTTTTTTTTCCTTAGTGGATACAGTTTATTCCTTATATCAACAAAAAATATATGACAGGTTTGTGTGAAACGTTAAATAATTCTTCATTTTTCTACAGCTTTGAATACGGTTATAAATAAAGTAAGAAAACGTATTTGATGATCTTTAAATTACAAAATACAATTAATTTCTTCTATTGTTTGAAAAGGGCGAGTACATAATAATCCAATAATGGTTATTTCTAAATTATTAAGTAGTCTACACAGTACACAGCGGGCTGCTACTTTCCTTCAATCAATACCATATGATATGAAATCTTGTTACTGCGCATTATTGAGTATGGTCTATTTAAACAAACCTGATTGGTTTCGAAATAGGTCGTAATGCTATTAAATATACCATTTTCAAAGAAGCTTGATTAGTGAACAAGTTAAATTAAGGATTAAAGCATAAGGAAAAAGCAAAGTGCATTTTGATTTAAGGAAAACTGGTGAGATTATGTTGATAAAATAGGATTGGCGAAGTTGGACGGTGGAAGAGAAATAGGAGGGAGATAGGGTGGGGATGATGATAGCCAGTCGGCAAGTGCAGAAGGGTTAGGTGGGCGTGGCTCACCCCTAATGTGGGCGGGGTCTATTGGGACAGCTAGGGGTGGGGGTGAGCCTTCCGCTGGTCCAGCCAGTCTCTTCTCAAATCTCATCCCTGCCCTTCTATTCTATATTAACCCCTGTAACAAATAAACCATCAACATTCATTTCATAATTGTTTATATTTATACTTTTCTTTATTTTTTTACATTGACTTTCTTAGCATTTTTTTCTTATCAACTCTGCTTTCATTATTTCACAATCCCATCCATAACAATATTAATTATTTTTGTCGTAATTTGCAGTGTCATAGTGGCTATGATAGCCGATTTGGGCTATACTTCATTAGCAGCCTCTGTTTACATTATCGTTTTTATGACCACATTTGTTTATTGTTTTCGTATTTCATTGGAGTAATGACCGTCTGCATCATAGTATTTTCATCAGTCCTAATAATAGTTTTGTTATTGCATACAGATCCTGTCAAATTAGAATTTCATTTCATTGTTTGAGAATTTTAATATACCTTTTGATCCCTAAAACCTGAAATTTATATTTTGAAAATGCCAACTGCTTATTTTTAATTTATTCTTTTTGAATACCTCTATACACTGTCTTGCCAGAAAGTGTATTGCATCTATTTTTTTAAGGTGAGATAATTGTCTCTATTTTTAATTATTTTCTTAATAAATAATTTATATTTTCATGTGATATTAATGCAAAAAAAAATTGCTAGTAGATAATCGTTTAATGAAATATGAAAGAAAAAAAAAAGAGAAAGAAAACAAAAACGACAAAGGAACAAACAAAGAGAGCAAGTGTTTTCCGTAGCTACAAATTCATTCACTGTTTTAGAGAGTATTTTACTCATAGCACCTGTTGCTGTGACCCAGTTCTTGTTTCCTGGTTTCATTCACCGTTTCTCAGTTCAATCTCTTATCCTGCTCTACCTCAACTCTATGTATTATTTATTTTTATGATTTTAAATAACTTGAGAAAATAAAATACGTTACCATTTTTTTTTTCAGATTGAGAATTTTTTTCATGTATTGTTTCGGTGGAACACTTAAGAGTATTAATAATTGGGATCACATTTTAAGTTGTGTTGTTAAAATATTTAATTTTATCATTAGTTTAGATTTTCATTGAGAATAATTTAAAATAGTTATTTGTGTTTAGATTTACATTAATGAATTTTCCATAAAATTGGTAGATATTTTACACGCTTGACATCAAAATTGTTTATATTTGTCTATTTGTATATATTTTTGAGAGAACAATACATGTAACTAAAAACACCTTTGTAGAATTGTTTACAACCTGGAATGAAATAGTGGTTTTCTAATCAACATCATGGATATTTGGAATCATTTGATATAATAACATATAAGTATATAATGTTAAATTGGCAATAGTAGTTTTCATCAGAACTACTGGGTATGTTCCTACAGTGTCTAACGAAGTAAAGGTTTACTGATCAATACTTCTTTATTTTAAACAATTTGTTGTTAAATAAAACAAATTATGTATAAATTTCGACGCATGCGCTACCCTTCCCTTATCACGCCCATTCTTCCAGGAACTATTTAAGCCTGACAATCAGTCCGCAACCTCAGTATTCTTTAGCCCTGCGACTTGGAAGGTCAGTTATGGTAGTCCACATTTGTAAAGATCAAACAATATCCAGGATTTAGGCATTTAGCTTTACACGACAGTTCTTTGGTTCTAATTTTTTTCTCTGGATTTAAAATTTTAGTAGAACCATTAACAATATTAAAAAATATTTAATTTTTAACTACCTAATAAGATTGTAATTAAGTGAAAATTGTTGAATGTACTTAACAGTTTTATTTTATTTGTGAGCTCTCTCTCTCTCTCTCTCTTTCTACCTTTCTTTTATTCCGTGTTTTTTTAGATTTATTGAGAAATGGAAGACGAAGATGAGAACATTTGTTTACTGTCTTATAAGTTTTATTTCCTCCGTTTTCCTCGTAAAGTGCGGATTCCATATAATATCATAAAGGTATGTAGCTCTGTTATTAATATATAATATAAATCATATTATATAGAATATGAAATTTATATGACTTGTTTTTTTTTTTTTTAGGAATCTAACCCGAATAAGGTTGCTGGGAAAAAACAAGATCAAGAAAGTGTTATTTCCGTTTCTTCACATCCAGCAATGGATCAAGGGAAAGTGAGATCTCTCAAGTGTTAAGGCATGGTATTTTATTTTACAAAATTTGTCTATTTCAAAATATAATGAAGTTAATTAATAATATTTCATGATTGATAAAACTTAATTCTGATGGAGAGGCTCATAATCGATCTTATCACTTATGACTCTAGTAACTTGTTGATGGTTAGTGTTGCCCAAAATCGGTCATGTCCTTGCATTTTGCATGCCAAGGCTTAGTTAGCTTTCCCATATCTGAAAAATTACGATAATATCTCTATAGTAATAGCCTAATAGGTAACCGCAACACTGTTGCGAGACTAAGACCAAGACCAAGACTGAGTGCGCAAGACCAAGACTCGTCTTGGTCTCGCACTGGGGCAACAATATTCACGGTGTACCAGGAGGAAATGTCGTTAATTAGTGAGGGATCTTATATAAAAAATGTATTCACCAACAGCGCATATCTATATCAAACCATGGTAAAGAAAAAATATTTTCCAAGGCTACCAAAGTTTTTCCTTTCTAAGTTCAATTTTTTTTAATTAAACTGCATGTTTCTCAACTTTGACCGGCATTTTCCGAGTCAGGTCAATATTGCTTCTTCAGGCGATCTTAGCAGTCGGATCAAGTCTCATTAAATTAAAGAGATTATTAAAAAAATGCAATGATGCTATGTCTTGTAACGGCTTTTCTATCTTGTAAGAGTTGATGATTACTACTGCATTTAAAATTCATTTTACAATTCCTCCAACAATAATATAATACGCCATACTATTTAATTTCATACCTGACGCAAGATTTAAAAAAAAAAGTATTTATCGGTACCATTATGCATATCACAAACTTCATGGTTTCTAACAAAATATAATGACATAATTAGTAAATGTTCAACGAAGTGTAGCTACTTTTTTTTATATCTCCCATAATCAATATCTCAGTATCTTCGCAAAGTCGGTTCTACCTTTGGAAAACATATCCAATGAGCAATGAAACAACTTTTTTTAACTTGATAAGATTTTAGCTCGAAAATATATTGCATGATTTTATACCTAGTATTTGTGAATATTCTTCACTTTTTCATGTTTCCTTTGCTTTATTTGCTATGATCTCATGACGAAGCGATAATAAACTCGAAATGAGTTACTGTCTTATTGGTAATTCATCTTAGATTCTGAAAATACAAACATTTACAATCACTAGCGGATCCAGAATTTAATTTTGGGGGGGGGGGTCCAGCCCGAAAGATTTTTTTTTCATATACATATAACGATAATTAATTTTTTTTAAAAAGAAAGAAATTAACTACCTATATGAAATGGTGTTTAAGTGGTTCTTGAAGTCCTATTAAATGTAATTAAACGAACAAGAATACTTTAAGAGGTTGTTTTTAATTTTTTTTTCTGTATATTTTATCCTTCAGACTGAAAGCCCCCTCTTCCCCTCCCCCCCGTAGATCCACCTGTATTTACAATTAAAAGTACAAAGTGTTGAAATTTTGCTGTTGGAAAGAACAACAGCTATCATTTGAGATAGGAGTGGAGGGGTCAGTTTTTCATTTCTGGTAGACTTTCCCTCCCTTAATTACTGAAATTTTCCCTTAGAACACTATATTTTTCTTTTGGAGCAACTGTGATTAATAAGAATCAGGTCAATATTATTTTTATATAATTTTTTACGATAAACCATATTAAAATAATTCGCCGTAATACTGACATCAGAATTTTCTACCCATCTTCATGGAGAATTCTTGGAATATATTAGATCAATAAATCAGTATTGTTTGTCATTTTTGGCATGCGCAGAGATCATATGGCTTAGTTATTGAATCGCTAAAATGCGCAATAACAATTTATCTAAATGCCATTGATTCTCTCCATTGGGCAATAAAAGTTTGTCGAAATGTTATTGAGATGAATATTAATTGAATTTACTGGCGTTAATTCTCTAATAATGTAATCTTACTTATTACTTTTTTATAAGATTCATTATTATGATATATCGAATATTATTAGGACAAACAACGTTTTTATTTTTAAGATTGGTTTGATTTTTGCTTACTACTAATATTATATTTATATTTTTATGATTTTAGAGTATTTACATTATATATATATATATGACTTATATATAATAACTCTTTTAAAGTTTAGATAGCCTGATCTGTTTATAGCTATATTTCATATACAATTATACTTATTTGAATAGATTATATTTGAGACGTTTATTAACAAAGCGTGATAACATTTTATTTTTTTTTCTATATAAATTTTCGCAAAAAAAATTGAATGGCCCAGGCAAATATTTCCTAAAAAGTTAATTTTAACTGTAAAATAGGAAGACACAAATAAGGCGAATCGAAGTGTTAAAAATTTATTTTATCGATCTATTTTTTTTTCCTGCAAATATTAGAATTTAAAGTTATCCCTCTTTATTAATAGACGCCTCAGTTTTTGGGTTTTTAATTCATTCGCATAAATTTTAATTTTAACATATTTATCTCTGAGGAAGAAGGGCAGTTTAGCGAGTAATAATTTTGTTTTTTTAGAGATGGCTAGGTAGTTGACTGTTTAAGGATTTTAAATATGAAAAAAATATTCAGCATTTGCTTGTTTAATAAGTTTGCCTACATTTTAACTCAAACATGTGGGCCATCATCAGTGCTAAAAATTGTTAAATATAAAAGTATATGAGAAGAAAATGGTGAAACATAAAAACGTATGTTTTGTATGTTAAAACTTTGAAGTGCAGTCAAAAAATTATTTTCTTCTGTTTTATGAAATGTCGGCAAACTCAATAAACATGATTTATTGACTGCACATCCTGACCGTTTTCATCTTTACAACAGCTGAATGTCTAAGCTATCCTAGGCCAAATTTTCACGAAGTTAAAATAAATTGTAAATTGGTAAATCTAATAAAAATATTGAAAAAAAAATGCTAGATTTGGTTAATCAATAATTTCAGTTTTAACTGAATTGTTATAAAATCTTTGTTTGTCAATTTAAATGGTTTTCCGTTTTTTAGAGGATAGAAATACTCATTGCTTGAGCAAAATACCATTTGTTTCACTCATCGGGAACCATTTAAAATTTTAGGTAATTTTTGAAGTTCTGTGCATTTTCTCTACTGAAAATTTTTCGATTACTTCCAATTGTTTGAAAATGTTTCGAAATCATTTATTGAGATGTCTTATCAATAATCAACAAAGGATAGTTGCAACCGTTGACTTGAGGCTCTTTGAAATTAATATTTGTCGACGTTTCTCAATGGTCGACGTATGGCTTGCAGGTAAACATGATAACTATTTTGACTAGATTAACGTTAAAATAGTTCTGTGTCATGCGTTATATATTAAAGAAGATAAAAAAGTAAGGATGAAAAGTGGATAGGATGTGCAGTCAAAATATTATCAATTATACGAAGCAGAACAATATGGAAAATAAAGAACAATTTATGGACGAAAATTAACCGGTATGTGTAAAAAGTAGCGTTTAAAAAATAAATTAAGGTATAATAATTTCTTCCTCGCGCGGGCTCATTACCGCGTATGGGGAGCGTCCCCCACGGGTGGCGGATGTGGGGATGGTCGGTGGAAATTCCTTGGAAGTTCCTCCCGGCTAAGTCCGATGGACTCGCTGACCAACAATGAGAGGGGCCCTCCAGACTTGCTGGAGAAACGGGACCTCCAGACTTGCTGGAGGTAGGGGCCCACCAGACTTGCTGGAGGTAGGGGCTCACCAGACTTGCTGGGGGGTGTGACGTAGGATTGAACGCCCTACTCACATATCTTTAGTTCACCAAACACCATAAATAGTCATGGATCTCCCTAAGGTAAAACGCTCATTATCCGGAAGTAAACTAGTCCCCCGTTCGGGTCTCCGGGTGGGGACTGCTTTAGGGAATTCATGGCGCAAGTTGAAATATATGGATTTAAATATTGGTACGTGGAACGTAAGGAGTTTAAACACAGCAGGGGGGCTAAAATCGGTCGCGAATGAGGTGAATGGGTACAATTTGGATGTCGTGGCTCTGCAAGAGGTTCGCTGGCCAGGGGATGGCTCGATGAGGGAAGGAAAGTACACTATTTGTTACGGAGGAAGCGGGAATCACTGTTTGGGTACCGGGTTTCTAATTAGGAGTAGATTACTATCCGCTTTGAGGGACGTACAATTCTTTAGTGATAGAATACAACACAGCTGGCAAAGCAGTATAATTAATGTACGGTCTTATCGCGGAGCAGAATGTGGGTCGGATCATGAATTAGTAATCGCGAAACTTCGACAAAAACTTAATATAAAAAAGAGAAAAGAAAACCGTTTTGATTTTGAGAATTTTAATTTGCAAAAATTAAAAAATCCATCAATTAGAACCCAATTCGAGCTAGATGTTAAGAATAGGTTTGAGGCTTTAGAGCTTCCTGACGAGGACAACGAGGATGTTGACAAGTTATGGGTAGAGATCAGGGATAATATTAAAGCGGTCGGTAACTCGTGTCTAGGAAAAAAGGAAAATAAGAATAACAAACCGTGGTTTGATGAAGATTGCTTAAACATGTGCGAAAAACGAATAGCCGCTAAATTAAAAGCTCTAAATAATCCTAGCGAAGACAATCTGGAATACTTCCGAACCTCAAAGAACGAAACGACAAAATTGCTCAAAAATAAAAAAAGGGAGTATCTTAAAAATAAAATAATTGAAATAGAAACTAATAAAATCGAAAATAACGTAAGAGACATGTACAAAGGTATAAACAGATCACGTAAATGTGTAGGGTCCGTAACATCTGGAATTAGGGATGATAATAACAATATTCTGACCGATCTGGTTGACATATTGAATAAATTTAAGGACCACTTTAACAATATTTTAAATACGGGAAATTATGATCTGTGTCCTCCTTCTGAGTACCAGAGTGCTGAACCGTTGATAGAAGGACCGAGTAAAGAGGAAGTTGAATTAGCTATCGGAAAATTAAAATCTTATAAAGCAGCGGGAACCGACAATATTCCTACTGAACTAATTAAGGCATGCGGGGAATCT